AGGGAAGGGGAGGGGGGGGGGGGGGGGGGGTACTCTCATGTCAGTAGGCTTCGCAGCGTATTGTATTCAGGCCAGTTGTTATGGAGAAATTTTCCGATTTGGAATCCGGGGGATCGACAGATAATGCTCCACCACCCCCTAAAAGAAGGAGGTCTGCGTACTGGGCAGCAAGCAGAGAGCACCAAAGCGCTTTGTCAATTCGTCCTCGCCTCAGACCCCTGTTTGCTATCTAACCGATAAGGCTGTACACTCCACTACTGTGAGCTTCTCGGAGCAAAGTTTGGGCAGCTAGAGTGCAGTGTGCATAGAGTATGCAATGATATGAAAGCAAAGTCACGATTCCCAATTTGGAATTCCAACCAATTCCAGTTTGGAATTCATTAGGAATTCCCACCCGGATCGTCCAGCAATTCCAAATTGGAATTCCTATTTTACCAAGCATGGTGAACACACACTCCACCGAGGCTACCCAAACTTGGCTCGAAGAGACTCACAGCAATGCTCTACGCGGCCTCGAAGGTTTGAATGCAAACGGGTCTCTGTGAGGCGAGTACTGAGTGCCAAAGCGCTTTTGTGAGCTTTTCCATCGAAGTACGCAGAACTCCTGCGGCCTCATGGGGGTTTGGATGTAAAAGGTGTAATATCGGGATTCCAAATCGGAAAATTTCTCCATAACAACTGGCCTCAGGAAACATGTTGGATAAAGCATGCAATCGGGGAAGTTGGGTTACGGTTAGGGTTAGGGAAATAGGGTCTGCGTACCCCCTCCCTGTTCTATTCCCTTACAATACTGAATTTCCGCGAAGGCGGTTCTCTCATGTTTTGCATGCGTTAAGAGGTTAGACCATCGACCACGCGTCCTCGAGAGGACCGAGCGTTGTTGCTCCCACAGGACCGATCACCGATATGGCCAATGGTTCCGGAGGGGGGGGGGGGTGTACTCATAGTCGTGCATGCCGTAGTCGTTTGACCATTGACCTCGCATCCCTACAAAGCCGGGACGGAGCACGCCGGGTTCTCACCGGACCAGGCTCTCACATCACCAAGCGCGAAGCGCCGTGAGGTATTTGGCGAGTCGCATGAAGGGTGAGCTGCATCCTGCTAAGGGTGTTAGGCATCTTGTGCTTATTTCCTTGCGTACGGATGACAGCTACGTATGACTTAATTTATTTTCTGGTGCTTTCACTTCCAGAGACAGTTGTAAGCACTGTGTAACTGCCTCGAGGAAGCTTGACCATTTTAACACAACGTGGTGCGATCATCCCCCGTTGCGCGGAGTGAGGTTTTTCGACCCCGCACAACATGATCTACTCGACCATCATTATGGTTACCGCCAAAAGAAAAAACCGAGGTAAAAAAAAAAAGCGGTAACCTGGTTGCCGAGTTCACGAAGTGAATTGGCTTGTTTTACGACGTCGTTGCCAAGCGACGAAAACCCAATCCCGATGGCAAACACCGAGTGGGGGGCTTGTTTTACAACGTCGTTGCCAAGCGACGAAAACCCAAACCCCGATGGCAAAGGTTCCGGAGGGGGGGGGGGGGCAACGTAGGGGATGCAGGGAGGGAAATATTTTCGCGTAGAGCTGTAAGTGCGCGACCTGCGCCATCGGCATTGTCGCCCCGAAAGGAAAGCCGAGTTGGACGAACCATGACGTGTGTTCGCAGAAACGGCAGGGGAAGGTGGCATGCTGCCGATCTCGTTCTTGCCACCCTGACTCAGTCGATGCAACACCGTGGTGCAGACTGCAGGAATCAAATATTTAGACAGGGGATAGGCTGGACACAAATGTAGGTTGGTCGGAAGGAGGCCTCGACCGAGCGTTGCGGGCATGCCTTGTGAGAACCAGCACTGCAGACCACAAGCGCGCCGTTTTGAGCCTACTGTACCCATCCCCGACCTTCGTCAAAAGATCATCGGGGAGAAAACCGTGTGCCAATGAGAAAGCGGCCAGCCTGCGCTGAGCCTGCGTGAAAGTACATGGAGAGGTCCGATACAGAAAAAACAAGACGCCGGCGGCGACACCCAAGCGGAAAAACAAGCGTGGGAGTATCATATCGACATCTATGCATACTCTTACGAACCGGTGTTTGTGGGCTCTAACAGAGAATTTTTCCGTGTGTTGCCCGGCGAAGATGACATATTTTTTTATTGGCCGAACGACTTGCGCGGTCGATGCAAACGTTCTCAGACAATAAAGAAACACGCAGACAAGACTGACGTCTTATCATTGGATAGCACGTCCGAAGCACAAAAAACAAAAACAAGGTCTCAACACACAAACATACACGCACACACCTGCGAGATGTATTTCCCCTTGATCACCTCGGGCTTGAGGTTGGAGATAGCAACCATGGTCGCGCGAACATTCTCGATAAGATCCGACCTCGCAAAGCTCACCTGTCGGCAACAGCAACAACATCAACGACAATGACGTGGCGTAAGAAAAGAGCACAAAACACACACACATAAGGAGACGTGGAAAAAACGAAGTCTCGGTCATGTCGTAGGCCTCTCTAAGCCGCATCGTCGTGCCCGCTCCAAACAAGACACAAACGAAAGAAAAAAACACGATTGATCATGCCTAGCCTCCCACTTTCAATCTCGCCTGTCCACCAAAAGCAAAACAACAAGACGTAGCCAAGACGGAAGCAAACGTCGAGAGAACGAGAACGCCCGCGCAAAACCCGCAACTCCTCTTCCCTCGGTTTTTGTCGTAAAAAAATCGTTTCGTCTTGCGAGAACAGTAGTCCACTTTTTCTTGGATAATTGGTTATGTCGGCACGCCCGCATGTCATTCTGGTACCGTAGCAGCACGAATCGACCAAGCAGGCAGTTAAAATATTCTTGTGTCGAAAAGATGAAACGAAGCCGGTCGGGCGAGAAAAAACAATACGCCTAAAAATAAACAAACAAACAAAAAACGAAACAGGTGCCATTTTTGGTGTTTTCGTGGGGTGAGCACGTCCTCGCCCACTCACTGCGATGGCCACGCGCAGCCTTTTTCATGTCATGCGATGGCGGCTACGTTCATTTGCTGGGGTGGACGGCATGAGCATTTTTCGGAGCACCACCTGCTTGCGCGAGTGTTTGGCGGAGCACGGAACCACGTGCTTGCTTACCTCACAGGACAACACAGACGGCAACACCACCACCACTACCACCACCAACAAACAACGTTTCCGCAGCAACCCCCCCCCGCGACCGGGCTTCTCACCTTACCGACCCCCATGTGCAGCGCCCCGTTCTTTCCCGCCCTAAACTGCGCCTGTCCCCCCTTCGCCGCCCTAACCGCCGCCTCCACGTCTCTAGTCACGCTGCCTAGCTTGGCGTTGGGCATGAGGCCCCTTGGGCCCAGAACCCTCGCGGCTCGCCCTACGACCGACATCATCTCCGGCGTAGCCACGCACCGCTCGAAATCGATGTTCCCTGGATTCCATTTTTTGGGGTGGGGTGGGGTGGGCGGGGGTACTCATCATCACATAATTGTAGCCGTAGTCGTTAGACCGTTGACCTCGCATCACTACAAAGCCGGGACGGAGCACGCCGGCTTTTCACCAGACCAGCTTAGCACCATCACCAATCGCGAAGCGGGAGCACGGGGGGGGGGGGGGGGAACCGACGTTGTTCATGCTTTGGTTGTTAGACAAATGACCATGCATCCTCGGGAGGACGGAGCAAGGGTTTCTCACGCTAGAGAAATGATGTCAATATGCGGAATCGTTCCTTCCTTTTCCTCTGCTGTTGTTCTACATCACCGACAAAACAAAGAAAACACTTGCGCTTATGAGCGGATGCCCGACGCCCGGCACATCGTGTACCGGTCGCGTCGCTTGGCCAAAAGTGAATCAAATCAAGCTGATGTTCACTTTGACATCATGCATCTGTACTTCGGTCTACAGGTCTTTGAGGATCAACGTCGGTGCTGCGGGTGCTGGGAAAAGCGTAGAGGTCAGAACGATTGTTGCTACACGAGGAACAACCACACATCAGGGACAGGTCACACATGACGTCACTCACCTTTCATCACGGAGGCCACAAGGTCTTCGGTGCCGACAATGTCCGCGCCCGCCGCGGTCGCCGCGTCTGCGTCATCCCCCTTCGCGAACACCGCCACCCGCACCTACAGTACGCCAGGTACAACCGACCAGTGATAAAAATACGCAGGAGGACGGGGGGGGGGGCACAGGCAGAGCTGAATGAAGGACGAAAAAGTAGCCCACAAAAATGTTCAGCCCAATAAAAAGGGAGCGGGTCGTAAAGGAAGGAGGGTATGGAGTAAAAAAATTGGTAGGACGCGGGTCAAGAAAGCAACGACACCAGCAAACAAGAAAAACACAGACATATGCCGTAACTGCTCCGCAGGCGCTCCTCTGCCTCTACCCCCCCCCCCCCCATATGTCGCTCTCGATCCCTCACCGTCTTCCCGCTACCTTTCGGCAGCTGCACGGTTCCCCGGACAGTCTGGTTTGCCTTTCGGGGGTCCACGTTAAGCACCATCGCCACCTTGAAGCAGAAAACGAGCACAAAAAAGCCCAGCAGGGGGTTCAAAGGTCGGAGTGAAGCATCATCACCGATAAGCACCGGAAGAGCGAGAACAAGGTTGGGGTTGCAAAAGCCGTACAGCACAATACCAAGGCATCTTACACACCAGAGCGGGTCGGCTACTCGAACTCTCCGGCGAGAGAGAAACCTTACGGTGTTGTTGTTATACTCACATTAAAACCGTTCCGATCTCTCTGCGCAGTACCTCCATCTGCCCGTACTGGGTTACCACTTGACGCGGTTGAATCCAGTGGTCACAGGCTAGAACTTACCCCCCCCAAGGTACATACTCAAACAAATTGGACACAAAGGGTCCGCAAAAAAATAAAAACCAGAGACATATAGGATACCACATGCTATTACTGCGGTACTGCGGGTTGTCTTGGAGAAAAATCGCACCTCGACGATACCACAATACGGAGTATTGCTTTGTGTGTCATAGAAATTATACACGCAAAACACGCAGAAGGACTACCAGTTCGATACTACCCGTTCTTTTTCTACGGTTGTCTTTCCCCACGAAATTCACACCTCGACAGTCTCGTCGAAGTTGGCCTTGGCACCGTCCTTCACCAGATCCAACGCCTCGGCGATGGGGTACACAGGGTTTCGGGCGGCGACCGCCGCCTGCGCCTGGGTCGGCGAAGCCTTTCTGCGGTTCTTGTTCTTGGACTTGGAAGACGCCGCGCGCAGCGCTTGACAGGGGATGATAGCTCTGCTGGGTGCGTGTGGGAAACACGCCGTTCGGAAGGGGGTGCTGAAGTATGGCCATTTTCGAGGGGGGGGAGGGAGGGCTAGCTCTGCTGGGTATGCGTGGGAATCATGTCGTTCGGATGCGTGTGCCGAAATATGGCCCTTTCGCGAGGGGGACAGGCGATGCTACATGTAGCTCTGCTGGGAGGGGTGTGGGTGGGTGACAAGCCGGTCGGAAGGGTACCGAAATATGACCGTTTTGAGCGCGGGTAGGGCAGGGGATGCCAGCTCCGCTGGGAGGGGCGATTGTGGGAAACAAGCCCTTCGGAACGGGGTGCTGAAATATGACCTTCTTCGAGGGGGGGGGGTACTGACGTGCTGACCGAGAGAGGCACCAGATCTTGCACTGCTGTGCTGTTCAGCGAGTCGCTTGTTCACGAGGTAGGAGGACTTGTGTCTAGGATTCGACCGGGAGTACTGACTGTGGCCACACGCAGGCACGTTGCTTTGATGCAGAGCATGGCCGCCGCCGCCGCCGCCGCCGCCGCGCGTCCGACATCGCCACGAATACAAAACGATTTTTCTCCAAACCTCTGAACTCCTTTAGGTTTCTGCATTGCATTGTGCCATCAATCTGCTTGCGGGAGTTCGAGGAGTGTGCTCCGAAACGATGAGCGCGAGTTGAGCCTTAGAAAGGGAAACCTGTCCTGACACCGTCGACTGTCTACTATTGTGCCTTGGGTGGGGAGTACGGTAAGAACCGGAGAGATGACACCCCCGTGTTTGCGTTTTTTTGCAGCGTATTTCTCCACAACTAGGAGGGTGCGAACACCAACCGATACCTCTCAGGAAAGCCCTAGACGAGATGTTTCCAAAACAGCCCTTTTCGGCAGTGGTACCCCCGTGGTTGTGGAGAAATACGCTACATACAAAAACGCTAACACGGGGGTGCCATCTCTCCGGCTCTTGCGGTAGTGGGGGTGGGCATGTGATGCTCTCCCAGAGTGTGGCTAGGTCAGAGATGACGGAACGCACACAATTGTACGGTGTTGTTGATCCCGTCGAGAGCTTTCTCCGAAACGTTATCGTTTGATATTTGATATTTGCATAATCTTCGTCGAGGGGGAGTAATCGAGCCCTGGAACTCAGGCCAAAGGAGGTACGATACCTTCCTGACGCACACACCACGCCTGCAACAAAGTGCAGAGAAAAACACCCATACCGCCGCCAAGAAGCCACGGGAGACTGTTGTGCGTGTTTGCGCATGCGTTCACCACCACATACGCATAACTCCGTGCATGTCGTTTCACAGCGCGCCAACGAGTCCATCAGACAGCAGCTGCGGCAGAGGCAGCGCCAGACCGGCAGTTGTTGCTACTGCTACAAATAGCAGGGTTGAAATGGTCCATCCTTGATTTTGGTTGGCTTTGAAAACTTCGGTCGGAAGGACACCCAGCGATCACACACGGGACGCATAAGAACAGTTGGGGCAAGAGTGTTGCGCAAGAACAATCCCTCGTAGGTGTTGCACAGAGCAGCGGTTGCAGCGGTTGACGTTCTCTACCTGTGTGTAGTGGCGTCGTTGCCAGCACCAACATGCGGTGTACCTACGGAAACGTGTTTTGCATGATGCCGGCATACCTCGAGGCACTGAGGGGACGCGTGCTTCCATCGACAACGCCATGTTAGCCTAAGAGTGATGCCGTATGGGGCGAGAGAGCTCTGTCTGTGGTGTTGGTCGAAGGTATGTTGGGGAGGCATGCAGCAAGGAAGGCTCTTAAGATAAAGGAACACCGCTCAGGCATCAACGTATTCAATACACTGCCAGGTGCTCACCTTTGTGCTGGCCGTGCGCAAGAATGTAGAGACCCATGCCTCATCGCAGCTACCAATCGAACGGCGGACGACATAGTACCGTGTTATCCAAGGTGACTGGACTACGCGTGGCGCTGGCACTGCCTCCCTGCTCTGCTGCTCTCCCCTGCCCCTCCGTGCGGTGTGCGCAGGCGCAGGTTCGACCGCAAATTTGGTAGATGGGGGCTCCGTGATGAATACGGTATCCACAACAACTCGACAAAGCGATTCGCGTTTCCCCCCCGCAGGATATCATGAGCCACTCACACCTTCTGCCGCTCTGCTTGCTGCGTCTGCCCTTGACCAGAAATCTTGACTAGTCAATAGTCAGTCACAGCCGCCCTCCCTCATCATTCTTCGCCAGGGTGTACATGTCCTTCAGGGGAGCAGTCGATGCTTTCTGTTTGGCGAAAACGACTGAAGAGGAAGATCACGACACCGGCTCTCCTGCAGAGAGCCGGCAGGGGCAACGAACGAGGAACGGGAGTCTTCGATCTCCTGTGGCGTGTCAGGGTGAAAGCGTTGTTTCCTGGATGGACATCTATGGGGATCCACCCCGTAAGGCAGCGGCAAGTGAGTGGAAAGCGCTCCATGTCTGATTCGATTTCATCACATTTTCCCGCAGGCTGGAGCATTAGTCTACTAAATGTCCTTACGGCAGCAACATGTGTACAATAGTCTACGCCACCTGGTCTGTACCAGATTGTAGATGATGTACTGTACAGTACATCTCTTGTTTGATGAATACCTGGTTGAGAAGGCAGGGCCCCGTTGCTGCATCTCGCCCTGGGCCTCGCACGGTAGATGCAGATGTTTCACGCAGCAGTCATGTGCAGCAAGGACTTCGAAAGTTTATTCTGGTACGTTGCAGCAGGCACCCTTGCGTACTTTCGATGTTGGTGTGGGCTAAACCTAACCGCCGTGGGAGGGACAAAATCCACGAGTTGGGGCAGATCTGTTGACGGGTCGTTCCGACTGACCCGAGATCTGACCAATTTTGCTGCGGGTCACGGCCTGACCGGCCAATCAGGTTCGACCGGTGGAAAGCCATGTCAATTCCCAGAAAAAGGTTCGCGATACTTGGAACGTGGCAACAGAAGATTTTCTTGGGCTAGACTGCTGTACACCGCACAACAAAATGCCTCACCCGTGCCTCTCGTAGTTGTTATGGAAAATATACATATAGTAATCTCACAGAAAGACTACCCGTTCGAGATATAACCTCAGTCGAAAGGTATGGGTTGAAGTCTTTTCAGTGAGTGGGTGGAAACCGGCTGGAATCTGGGCTTATTTTGAGTTTATTTTTTTGGCCACGTTGACAACTACGGAAGGATTCACGTCACCAAAACACCCTGTTCCATCTTCTGCGCAATGCAAGGCGCCTGAGAGAGATAACTCTACCGTAGTTACATTCCTACTGCATCTCTCGCTCTAGCTCTCGCGTAGTGTCGCGGCACGCTGCGATCCGCTCCTGGGCCTCAGCAGGTTTGGTGCCCTCTCCGTGGAACTCGGCGATGACCTCTTGGGCCCCGATGGCAGCCATCGGGGCCCAGGAGGTGGTAGCGGAGTTCCAAGGAGAGGTCGTCGACTCGAGTGTGGCATCATAGAGGGTCCTGCGACATGGGCTACTGTGCGAGAGCGAGGGCAACACAAGGCCTGTAGGGAGAGTTGTCTCTCAGGCGCATGCATTCTGCATACAAGCTACAGCAGTGGAACGACGTGCTTTGCCGACGCGGGCGCTTCGTTTGTGAGTTTCGCGATCACCCAACTACCTGTAGTCTCCTTACCTTGTGCTTCTACACGTGTTCCAACGAATGCGCACCTATGTGGTATTTTTAAACATTGGTACATGCTACGCGTACACCTCAGCTGGCACGTCGACAGCAAACCCCGTCCTTGCCTTGCTTTGAAAAACATGTTTGTAGAGGAAGAGCAACGTGGCACACTCGTTTTCACGCACTTATACTTTCAAGCACAAGCAGGGTTGAATTTGACGGTGTGTTGCCCTTGATTTGCTTTGCTGTCCAGCACATCATACGTATGCGACAGCAGCAACCATACCTCACGTTAACACGGCGTGGGTGGATGGTATGATAGCGTGCTGTGAAAGCACGTCGTTTCGGGTACGCAGATGTTCGCCAGTCAGCCCTCTCTCCGTTCCCAACAACACTGTCAAGTTTACACAATGCTCGCAGTACGCTCGACCAAGTAATATCACCCATCCCATCCCATCCAACTGACTGACATAGAGACCTAGCCTACCGTTGGAAGCATGGTACGCTGCTCACCGTGCAGAGGTAAACGTTGGGTGAACACGAATGGTCCAGGAACCGAGCTGGGTACCCCTTTAGCAGGGCATCCAGGTAGACGGGGTCGTCTCCCACTTGTACTTTGCACCCCTGCCTCATGGTAGGAATGCGTGGTCCAAGCCGGGGATGAACCCGTGTGCTTGGGCTGGATGGTGAAGGGCTACCCCTCCTGGTTCTTTGACTATTCATGCGACCAAACGTGCAGCTCTACACTGTGAGAGTTGGTGAGAATTGTGCAGTTCATCCACCGGGAGGCTAGATCTCTTTAGCCGTCAGTTGGATGGGGTGGGTGTTACTACTTTGTCGAGCGCACTGAGAGCATCATGTGATCATGTTTGAAGGTCTATTTACTTAGTGTGTACATATTTGTACAGGCGGGCGGCAAGCGAACCCAGGAAGATTGGATGTTTTTTTTAGATGCAAAGACAGGAGAACGGTATCTTGTTGCGAGAGCACCCCTTGCTACAATTGTGTTTAGTTGACCTTGTTTTTGGAGTGAAGCCGTTGGTCGGGCTTTCTGTCGTGTAACCGAGAGCTGTGCTGTATAGCGCCCCCCATTTCGCGCCGTGCAAAGCCATGTTTGACCTATTATAGGCAGTTCTCTTCTTCTCCGTACACATAATCTACGCCGTGATTCCACAAGGGTCAGCCCGAAAACGCGGTTGGAAGATTATCTTAGCACGGCGCCGATCTGGGGGAGCGTGACCCTTGATTTTTTCCGGGGGTTATGTACTCTCTTGTGCCTCAGGCGTGTCAATTAGAAGAATAGCAACGTCGCGCCATCCGAATTCACACACTTCTTGTCCAAGCAGGGTTTCTTGCCATTGCTTTTCTTCGCTACCAAACACATGTACGTCGGCAGCATCACTACGAATAGTTACTTTTTTAGTCTATCTACTGCTGGAGCCATGGTACGGTGCTCACCGTGTAGAGGTAGACGTTAGGATTGCACGAGTGGTTGAAAAGCCTCGCTGGGTACCCCTTCCTCATGAGGTCAACGTACAAGGGGTCGTCCCCCAGTTGCACGATGCACTCCTGCGGCAGCGATTGGCCGCAGGGATGCGTTGTTCAGGTAGGGGACGATCCGTTACATGTTGATTGCAAGGTGAAGGGATACCCGGCGAGGCTCCTGAACCACTCGTGCACCCCAAACGTCTACCTACACACGGTTGAGCAGCGTGCCATGGTTCCGATGGTAGATACATATTGCCAGTCAGTTACACGAGAAGGATGATACATTATCGATGCTCCCAACTATGTGAACGTGTTTGTCACTTTCAAGTCCAAGCAGGGTTCAAGAAGAAGCTTTGCTGTCACACACACGCTACGTATGCACCAGCAGCAACAATACCCAACGTAAACGTGGTGGACACGGCGTGGGTGGATGCTATTGTAGCGTGCTGTGCATTCACTTCGTTTCGGGTACACGGACTCGTCAGTCAGCCCTCTTTCCCTTCCCGACGACAACACAATCAAGTTTACACAATGCTCGCATTACGCTCGACAAAGTAATATCACCCATCCCATCCCATCCAACTGACTGACATAGAGACCTAGCCTACCGTTGGAAGCATGGTACGCTGCTCACCGTGTAGAGGTAAACGTAAGGGGCGCAGGAGGGGTTGGTTGGCTGGGTACCCCTTCAGCATTCATCCAGGTATAGGGGGTCGTCTCCCACTTGTACTATGCACCCCTGTGGCAGCGATGACGCGGTCTCATCGGAGCCGTAGGAGTGCGTGGTCCAAGCAGGGGATGAGCCCGTGTGCTTCGACTGGATAGTGAAGGGCTACCCCTCCCGTTTCTTTGACCATTTATGAGACCCAAATGTGTAGCTCTGCACGGTGAGAACTGTGCAATGTGTCCACCGGGAGGCTTGATCTCTAAAAGTACAGCAGTCAGTTGGATGGGATGGGTGATACTACTTTGTCGAGTGAAAGCAATATGCGATCGTGTTTGAAGTCAATTTAATCAGTGTGTGTGTATATCTGTACAGGCGGGCGGTAAGCGCACCCAGGAAGGTTGTATGTTTTTTTCTTTACTTTAGCTGCAAAGACGGGAGAGACGGTATCTTGCTGCGCACCCCCTGGCAAAAATGGGGGCTCCATTCATCGCCCGTCGAGAACACCCCTTGCGACTATTGATTCTGGTTGACTTTGTTTTTGTAGCGAAACCGTTGGTCGGGCTTTCTGTCGTGTGCTCGAGAGCTGTGCTGTATAGCGCCCCGACTTCGTACGGTGCAAAGCCATGTTTGACCTAGGCAGTGCTCTCCTTCTCCGTACACTTAGTCTACGCCGTGATTCCACAAGGGTCAGCCCGCAAACGCGTTTTGATGCCCCCCACCAAGAAGAGTGTCATTGTACACGCAAGCGCCGATCCGCGACTTTTGTTCTTTTTCCGAAGCAGCTGCCTCTGTTCATGGGCCGGCCAGTGAGCGCGGAGGATGTAAGAAAAACAAGACAATGAAACGACCCCGTTGTCCGGCAGAGACTTGCAGCAGTTTCCTCTTTCTATTGATGACTCGGTCACAGCGGTCGATTTTCGTTTTTCTTCTCATAGACAAAAGTCAAGGTACAACTTGTGCACACGCGCCTCTCGCCCCCCCCCCCTCCTCCGTGTATCCTTTTCTTCGCGCGTGTGACCGCCGGTAAGGGGGGCTCGCAACAAAAGCGAGTGAGGGTGTTCTCGATGAGGGACATCGCCGCGGGAGTCGTGCCCCGTGCCGCACACGATGGGTCATATGGCCGATGTTGTCCAGCTCCGGGGTACGAGAAGCACAGCTTCTCTCCCTCATTGATGTGTTTCAAAGTGAGCATCCTCACTCGGTTCGTTTGCGCGGCCCCTTTGCCGGCGACTACCTGTGTGAAACTAAGGGTGCGAAAGAAACCATTCGGGTAGGGTACACGCAGGCGGTGGGGGGAGAGAGGGGTGTGCACCAGTTGCGGCTTGAGCATAAAAACAAACATGTGTGTATATAAGCAAACAAGTATCGACCGTTGTGACCGACTCGCCAATGGAACGAGGATGGCGACTGAGAGGCGACGGGATGTGCTTGCAGGGCGCCGGAGGGTTACGGTCTCATGTTTGCATACGCGCATGCCAATGACAGGGGGTTTGTTGTTTTCGCCACGGAGGCAATCGGTGAGCACGAGGTCGTCACCCAGCTCAAGGGGGAGGTCATGGACTCGCCTGTGCTTCAGACGTGTCTATTAGAAGGAACAGCAACGTCGCGCCATCCGAGTTCACACGCTTCAAGTTCAAGCGGGGTTCGAGAAGAGGGTTCCTTGCCCTTGCTTTGCTTTTTGCTGCCGAACGCATGCTACGTGGGCAGCAGCAGCAGCAACAATTCCCAATGTGAACGTGGTGGACACAGCTTGGGTGGGGGGGTATGATAGGGTCCTGTGAAATCACTTCGTGGCGGGTACGCAAGATCGTCAGTCAGCACAAGCACGATTACGTACTGCTCCCAGCACACTCGACAATGTGTCATCCATCCCTTCTAACTGACGGATAGGCGGCACTGCTGTTTGGAACCATGGCACGGTGCTCACCGTGTGGACGTACATGTTTGGTGTACTTTAGTGGTTGATAACCTAACCGGGTACCCCTTCGGCATACAGTCAACGAACAAGAGGTCGTCCCCAACTTGAACGATGCACTCCTGAGGCACCGAGTAGCCCCCATCGCTGCCGCAGGGGTGTGTTGTCCAAGTTGGGGAGACAAACCCCTTGCATGTTGACTGCATGGTGAAGATATACCCGGCAAGGCTCATGAACCAGTTATGCACCCCAAACGAGCTACGTACACACGGTTGAGCAGAGTGCCATGGTCCCAACAAAACAGACTTGTAGACAACTATTCATCAGTCAATTAGCCGGGATGGGTGATACAATGTCGAGTGTACTTGAAGCATTTTGTCAACGTGTTTGAAGTCACATTCAAGTCCAAGCAGGGTTCAAGTAGAAGATTTGCTGTCACACACATGCTACGTATGCACGAGCAGCAACCGTACCCAACGTCAACGTGGTGGACACGGGCGTCGGTGGATGATATGATGTAGCGTGCGGTCAAATTAGCTCTTTTGGGGTACGCAGATTCGTCTTCATTCTTCCAGTACACTCTTTTGTTTCATGTGAAGACAACAACAACAACAACAACAACAACAACACTTCACAATGTATCGCCCATCCCATCGAACTGACTGCAGTAGAGATCTCCCCTTATTTAAATGTTGGCCACACACACATCTTGCCCCACCGCGTTTCGGGTCGCAGGAATGGTTGAATGCCCGGCATGGGTTGCCCTTCAGCATGCAGCCCACAAATAGGGGGTCGTGTCCAACTTGCATAACGCACCCCTGCGGACGCGATTAGATCCCGTCGCTGCCGCATGGCTGCGTTGTCCAAGTTGGGGATGATTCCCTGTTCTTGGAAGCCCGTGATGTTGGGCTACCCGTGCCGAGCGTTCAACCACTCCTGCCACCCGAACGTGTTTATGTACACGGTGGGCAAGTTGTGTGTGCGGTGAGCATGGAACAAGGGGATATATCTACTGCAGTCAGCTGGGATAGGATGTGTGATACATTGTCGAGCGTACTGAGAGCGTTGCGCGGACGGGTTTCAAGTCTAATATTCTCAGTTTTTTTGTTATCTGTACAGATGGGCGGTAAGCGTGCTCAGGAAGGTTGGGCATGTGTTTTATTACTGCAACAACGATAGGAGAAAGGGACGGGGCGGGGTCCTTTCATCGCCCCTCCAGAGCACCCCTTCACGACGAATGTGTCTCTTTTGCCACGTTTTGTTGTAAACCGTTGGTCGGGGTGTATGCCCTGTGCCCGAGAGTTCTGCTGCATATCGCCTCCGCTTTCGTTGGAGAAAGGAAGTGGACATGTTGCACGTTGTGTCGACCCCCTCTCGACGTGTTGAGCCACATTATTTCTAGGCCGTGCTTCTTCCCCATGTGCACGCAGAGGGTGCACCGTCAATTCACGGATCAGCCCACATACGAGTGTGATTCCCCCCACCAAAGACATTACACGCACGCCGCCCATCTGGGGGGGCGTGGATCCTAATATTTTCCTTATTAAGCAACTCTGTTCTTGGGCCAGCCGCCTAGCGCGGAGGATGCCATGAACAAAGACAATCACACGAACTCGTTTGTCCGGCAGAGACTTGCAGTAACACCTCTTTCCATAGGTCGGTCACGGTCGAACTTGTGTTCTTTTTCAAGAACAAGGCGCAACAGGTGCGCCCGCCCCTCCCCCCCCGTCGTGTACCCTGTTGTTATTGCGACGATGGCTGCCGGTAAGGGGGACTCGGAAGAGTAGCGCGTCTTTGTCTTCTCTCTCAGGGACATCGCAGGGGGCGAGGAGCTGCATTCTACTCGGACCCCGCGCCGCCCATGATCGCTCTGATGAGCGATGATGTGCGAGACGGGGCACGAGCAGAATGAAGCTCCTCGCACTCTTCCCTCAGAGAGAAGACGAAGACGTGTTACTTTTCCGAGTCCCCCTTACCGGCGGTCAACCGCTGCGTGGAACAAAGGATGCGAAAGAGAGCCTTTGGGGAGGGTACAAGAAGGGGGGGGGGCGTGTGCAACACTTGTACCTTGTGTAGAAAAACAAGACAAGAAAATTATCGACCGCTGTGACCGGGTCACCAATAGAAAGAGGTTGGTGCCGCAGAGGCGAGCGGATGTGCTTGCGGGGTACCGGGCAGTTGCGGCCTGATGTCTCAGCGCAAGGAGATTTTGGGGCGGCGGGTGGGAGGGCACCGCCTGATTGAAGTAGTCCACATGTATGCATGTGGATGTGCCAATGACAGGGGGATTGGATTTTTCGCCACGGAGGCAATCGGCGAGCAGGAGGTTGTCACCGAGTTCAAAGTGGGAGGTCCCGTGGACGTGCTTGTGCCGAAGAGAGCAGGTGGCTGCGTACCACCGCCACCCGCTTTTTTTGCTTCGGAGGGATCAATGCTCTCTCCCACGAACTCCGCCACGACCTCCTGCTCCCCGGTGGCCTCTGTGGCGAAAACTCCAAACCCCCTGCCATTGTCAACATTTCCGCGACAATTACAAGAGGAGCGGGTGAGGTACTGGTCTGGTGTAGAGTGGACTATTTTTTGAGAATGACGGCAAGACAGGTATATAGCTGGGGCTCTCTCTCTCTCTCTCAAGGCACCTGAATTCTGCGTAACGCTCATGGTGGAAGTGGGACAATGTTGTTCACTTTGATGCGCGCTTTGTATGTGAGTTTCGCAGTCACCCAAATGCATGTTATCTCCATGTTGTATTTCTGTACATCCAAAACCTCTCCGCACCTATGTTATTAATTGTCGAACATTGCATTGCGATACTTCAACCGACGCCTCCACGGCAAACCCCGCCCGTGCCTTGAAGAGCATGTCTGTTGAAGAAGAGCAACGTGAGGTCCCCCGTATTCACACATTTCAATGCCAAGCAGGATTGAAGTAGAGGGTTCCTTGCCCTTGGCCTTGTTTTGCTGCAGTATGCTTCGCCGGCAGCAGCAGCAACCACGTCCAACGTACACGTGGTGGACACGGCGTGGGTGGATGGTATGGTAGGGTTGTGTCAAACCAGTTCGTTAGGGGTACGCCGATTCGTCAGTCAGCCCCCCACCCCGTCTGTCCCTCCCGCCAACACCATTTCTTTCCCTTTCCTGGACTCCCCCGATCTCATCGCTGCCTCAGGGACGCATCGTATAATTTTGGGATGACCTCATGTAGTCGGGACGGTATCATCCAGGGCTACCCGTCCCGGACGTTCAGCCATGCATGCAACCCGAGCATGTTTTACGTACACGGTGAGCAGCGTACAATGCCTCCCGCGGTAAGACTAGATCTCTGCATCAGTCAATCGGGACTCCTTGCGCAGTACCACCCTCTTTGGTGCCCACCCCCCAACTGTTTGCCCGCCGCTTCCGTCCTCGACCCTTACAAGAATTGCCGGGATTGCAGTCAGAACATCCGTGACGACAACGTTGCCTCGCAGACATGCCGTTGCCCCGCAGGGAACTTCAAAGAACAAATAAGTCTGTAATTTTTCGGCACTTAAGTCCACGGCTATTGGCAACGAACGCTTCGCAGTCGTTGATGGTAACGTCATCGTCGATGATGCAGCCCAGTTTGTCGCGGAGGAAAGTGAGCAACAAAAGGAGGACATGGTTGGTGCCCACGTGGTTATTGTTGAATGACATCGGCAGCCGCGTTCGTCGTGTAGTGGTTGTTGGTGCTGTTGTTGTTTCCGTTGTTGATCCCTCCCCTTGTCTTGTGCCTCGCATGGCTTGGTCGCTCGCAGCGGGGATTTAGTACTTGTCCTATTGCTGTTGCTGCTGTCGTTGCTGCCGTGGTGATGGTATGCCTCGATGTTTGTCGACGGCGCACAAGCCGTATGCGCGTCGTGCAAAAGGTATTGAGTGCGGTCGGTTGTTCGTTCGCCGTACCAGCGTGAACGCTTGGTCAGGCTCACTTGCAACCGGTATTGCCTGTCGATATTACAGGAGACGATGGCCCGGACAACCCGACTGTCCTGCTCGTTTGTCTGCCCCGACATTGCCTGTTCGTTCGGTGTATGCATACGGTCGGTTATTAGGGCTATTGTAAGGTGATCCGAAGCTACGCCAAATATTAAGTCCTGACCGTGTGCGTTCGCATCTCTTTTTTTTGTGACGTTTCGCGGTTTGTTTTACAGCGTGGCGTTGCTGACGGCGGACACGACAGTACGAGAAGGGCCGGTTCGACACGTTCAGCGTGGAACGAAAAGGTGCTGTGCGCTTGATGTTTTGTTTTGTTTCCTTTTCCTCCCTTTTCCTACAACCCGTAGTTTTACCTTCCGTTCACGTTTCCTTTTCCTCCCTTTTCCTACAACCCGTAGTTTTACCTTCCGTTCACGCCCGTCTCTTTCAATACAGCCGTGGCTCTAGTCCGGGACCGAGTTGCGAGTTTTTTTCGGGTCGATTTTGGCTTGCACGTGAGATCAAATGATTTCCTACCGCGTTTTACCGCTCAGGTTCCTTCGTTCCTAGGGATTTAGTCCCGATTCCGTGCCATGCAACACTCGCCTGGGGAGAGGTAGGTGTATCGTTCATCAGGTATGAGACTGCCACGCCGCAGCACACGCAAGGTACAGCTTGGCATTGGCCTCATCCTGTTTTTTGTGCACGCTACGGCTGCAGTGGTAGAACCTCAGAACCTGCTTGTCTATTCGGGCTCCTGCAAACGTTCGAAGAACACCGCTGCACTAACAAGACCCTCATCAGTTGCAACACTTTTTCATGGAATGCTGATGGCATTCATAGCACCGCAACTTTCTTTTACGCTCTTCTTCCCACCCCGCCCTCGCCGCGACTCTTCCTTACACCTTTTCGCACTGGCTGCGCACCCCGCTTGCTACGACCTGCAACTACAATCCAGGTGTTCACCGGGCACCAGAATGATCTGCGCTCGGGGCTGGACGCGTGCTTCGCCCCGAACGCGCAGTACGTCCTGTCCGGTCCCGAAGAAACACACATCATCTGCTGTACACCTGGCCTACGGAAGACGGTAAACTTGCCACAAGATGCTCTCCCAACGGGCACTCGTCCGCGGTTGGCGAGGTCATCGCGAGCCCGTGAACGCACACGGCGCTGTGGATGGACACGGGTTTGGAACCGGGGCATTGGGATTTTGATCTTCGCGGGTGGTGTGTATTTTTCGCTGGACGCTACGCCTACTGCTGCTGTCCGATAGTGTCAAGTCACAGAGAACATGTCGCGCACATTGATGTAACTGCTGCTGACGATTGAGCTTAGTTTGATCGATCAGCTTGGACGCTCTAAAGTTGTCGCGATGGAGGATTCCTTGCATTCTTGCTCTCTCTGTTTCCCGGCAGGTGCTGTCGCTCGGAGAACTTGTCGAGATTTCCGGACACCCGGATCCACCTGTCTTGCAAGGGTCCCCGCGATTCTCACCGTAGCCCGCTGAATATCTACGTGTACATGTAGACTACTGTACAGAGGCCTCTGGTATGCATAGTGGGCATAGAAAATCACGAGCGCCTCACGTAAAATAGAATTGTGTGAGTAGTGATTAAGAAGAGGATATCGACCCATGGTAGCATTTAAAGACGGCTCGCTGCAATCGCGAAACCTGCACCCGCCCCAGCCATACCTACTGCATGCTGTCTAGGTACATACGTAGGCTTGCCTGGATGGACTGGACTGGACATCTACTGGTGTAGATTAATTTTCAATTTACATCATGCTCGAACGAAAACTCAGTTCCCACTCATTGCTGTCGGCCGTGTACCCGTTTGCTGTATCAGTTTATGGATCACCGTACCGTCCGCGCTTGCGATTGCGTACGTCTATCTCCCGTTATTGCGAGCTAAGTCTATTTTCCGGTGTATAAGAGGGTTGCAGGCCGTGATGCGACATTTAAGAGTGTCGTTTTGTTCGTTTTCATTTCGATAAACCCTGGGAGGCTTGGTTGCCTCAACGCTAGCCCGTGACTCCCTGCATCACAGCCGCTTCCCCTCTAGGGAGGTCCCCCTGGGCAGTATTGAGTCCTCCAGGGATGCTGTACAGGGTTCAAGGTTATTAAGAACAGTTTTGAAGTTGGTTCTGGCGCAATCTCGTTCCCGATCGGGTGTATTTACATAGATAGGCCGCCTTCGTAGAGTCCAGAAATGAAACTCGCCACTCCGCACGACGCACGACCCACACATCAACGGCAGAAATGATTCGAAATGTATGCAGGCTGTCCAGACAACTGACCCAATTTTTTGAGGGGACGAGGCGTGATGGGTCTTTACTAATCCGAGCTTCTTGTGGCGATAAACACAACAGTCAGCAGCAGTTCTTTTGCTGCCCCATAAAATCGGCGCGCATTTCGCCCCTGCGTTTGTTGCCAAATCCTGTCAACTGCTGTTCAGTTTTTTCGCCTTGTGGGCTTTTCCCTCCCGGTCCTACAGTGGGCTTGAAAGTGAGGGCCATCACCAAGGAGTCACAGTGGGCCTGGCATGTTGCTCCGATGAGTTTGGTTTTGAGGATCGGGAAAGAGTAGAGTAGCAAAGCGGCTACACACAGGAGACACCCAAACAGAAAATATCGGATAATTTGCTGGAATCTCCGACTGGTCCAGCCATCGGTTTGACTCTTTCGTCTCGTCGCGAGATGGCTACGACACGCACAGATTTGCGCGCGGCGCACCAGCCACTCCCCGTCCGCCCTCAGTCTAATGGTGGCAGATGAGAAAAGAGGCACGCAAATGTCCAGAGAATCCCGGACCGAAGCAAAACATTCTTTGAACACGGCAGACCGGAGACAACAAGGAAACCTTATGCATGCGTGTCGCAGAAGTAGAGGGCATGTATGTGCATAGCGTAGGACGGCGGTTCCCTGCGGACTGGTGGGCATACACGTGTTTATACGCCGCCACAGATAGCCTGCGGCAGGTCAGCGTACTATCGTTTCCTCTGGCAGTGCCGAGGACATGAATGGTGGGCGCCTGGCTGTTGTGTTCATGAAATGAGATGCGTGTCTGCATCTGGGGCCAGATGGATCCGAACTGACACAAACTGACGAAATTCAAACTATCTCCCTCTGTTCGATGCTGTTGGTCCTCTCTCTCTCAGCGCTTGTTCGTTTTGTTCTTACCTTCTTCTTTTCATGAATGCGGCAGGGAGTCGCTGGTAAGACGGTTGTAGCTGTGGCGACTGTTTGCTGTAGCGCGTCATGCCCAGCACACGCTGACTGTCGAGCTATCTAGCCGCGATGTGATATTGAAAAAGCACGACGAGACGTGCCTCCCTGCTGATTTTGTTTTTCTGCGGCATGGGCGAGGAGTGCGAAACAGTTGCTCCTCATCAAATCATGTGTCCTTCTCTTGTGTGCATTTGTTCATGCTGATGATATTTTCACGTGGCAAAGAGCAGATGCACAAGAGGTTGCGAGTTGCCCGTCGCCCTTGATGTCTAAACACGCAGGAGAGCAACAGAGCCGAATTGTATCGCACGAGTCGCGCACCGGCCGTCACCCCGCTGTTCGCCTGCGACCTCTAAAGGTATCGCTTTGCCGCGAGCCATGGGTTCGGTATCCGCCTGGGGCGAGAGGATTCTGGGGTGCCTTCTGCAGGGAGGGGGATGATTAAATATATCTGTTTCGCTGGACACGACAGAGCAAATAGAGGATAAAGCCAGGTCGGGAAACATGAACGAAGGAAAGTGCGCTGCTATATCATAGACTTGTTGCGTCCGCAAATACCAAATGTATACCATGTTGCTGTATCCTTCGGCAACCCAACCGTTATATTTTTGTAACGGATTGTACATGTGGTGTCGTCGTCTGTTTGCTTCACGAGCGCGCGCGCGGCGGGGGGTGCGTGATTTGTTTCAGAATGAATACTCTGTACCCCCAAACTTGAAACGTTTCTGTCTTCCACGAGCGAGGTACTGTCGCTTCCCCATCGTCTCGCAATGTCCACCTTCCCCTCTTCTCTCTCCTTGCCAACTCGCGTGCACCGGCCTGCACCAGCGAGTGCTGCCTTCTCTGCAGACGACCGCCAGCGGCACCAGCGACCACGGACTCCTGCACAAGAGGCACACTTCCGCGCGTCTTCCGTCTCGTCTGCTGGGTCTGCTGGGTCCGCTGGGTCTGCTGCGGGTCTGCTGGTCTAGACGTGAGTTAAAGGGCCCAGAGATTTTTATTGCCTCGTGATGTACAATGTTTTGTGCTTGTCGACGGAGCTACTGCTGCATCGATCCACGAATGCGACATAGAAACCACCCTTTTGGATAGCGCGGGCGCCGTGATCTGTACGAGGTGAACGCCGCTGGTGCCGAATCTTGTTTAGTTTCAATAGTTCGAACTACCAGTGTGTGGGTTAGCTCGGCCCTTCCCAAAAGGTTTATCGGGGGTGGCCGTGCTTACCCTGATCCCCAAGTGTGTGTGCTTGCCTCACGCAGCTACAACTGTTTTCACTCCCAGCCGACTGCGCTCGCCCCCTCTTCCTATCTCGACCAACGACCCAGCCGGTCGATCCCCCCACCTGCCCCACGGGCCTCACTCATCAAATATACTGGCCACATATTAGACGGTATTGAAAGCACGTTACTCACAACGATACTTATTTTCCGTACGTTAGGTAAACCCCCTGGACCATCTTTTTCAAAGCTCGCCTACGCCACAGCGAAGAGAGTGGTGGCTGCCCAAGACCGCGACGTTCGAAGCGTCTCGTCTCGAGCTTTTCTTCGGTGAGAGCTTTGTCTCGTCGAGAGCTTTGTCTCGTCGAGAGCTTGTTCACGTCAAGAACATTTTCTCGTGGAGAGTCCGAAACGTTCTCTCTAGAGGTTTGACCGCTCTTTGAAAAAAAATAATGTACTCTCGAAGACGGATCTGTTGTGCGCGGAAGTATATTCCGCCGCATTTCGACCGTTACAATTATTCTTGTGTAGCGCGCGCAGCATGCTGATGGCCCTTTGTATTTATTTCTAAATAACGCATCGAATTATCTCTACATTGTCCACAGATCTCTTCTTCTCGTCGGAAAACGTGAACTGTAAGTTACCTCCGATCTTGATCAATTTCCGCGGAAGTTCCCTACCTACAGCACCTTGGAATTGAAGCTCCGTTCAATGTACAATAGGATGGGCACCCCTTCAATGCCGGGGTGGCTGTGTGTCTATTTATTTAGTCTGCCAATAAAGAGGTGCGGGACACCTCTCTGCAACCTACCCGGCGGAGGCTTATTCCGCCGCACTTTGTCGTTACATTTATTTGATATGTTTATACAAGCGTGCGCGCGCCTCGCTTTTATATTCTTTTTTGGCGTTGTGACCCCTTTCAACCCCTTCCGAAATATAGATTTGCCGCTGTGTGTGACCAGTTTTCTTTTGTCTATTCTCTACCTGTCTCAATGTACATCCGGCACACCAGAGGAAACCTTATTTACTTTTTGAACGGTGATTGGGATTAGCAGTCGTCTCGTTGGTGTGCTGTATGAAGTATACTATTATACAGCAGCGTCAGGCCGCCGAGGTTGCTTAGCGTGACACAGCACCGTGGCGTGTGTTGTGTGACACACGTGTGCGCTGATGATTGACTGGCTTTCTTCTGTTCGGAACACATCATCACCCTTCTGTCTCTGATTCGTGTACAGGCGCATGTTCTATGTTCATCCTGTGACAGCGAACGCCGTAGGGTGCAACAGGAATTAAAGTACGCACATTTCGTTCACCCAGAAATTTGATTGATGTTATTTTGCGAATCTTCATCTCGTCTGTGCTCAAATAATATACATGAGATTTGAGTAGGCCATGGAGCCGGTCCTTGCTTGTGGCTTTGATGAAAAAAGACACCTTGACAAAATAAATACTTCGAATTATGTTATCTCAGAGAAATAGCACGCTTGGCTGAAGCAAGCTGTGTTGCCGATGGCCGGAAAGCACTCGGTGGCAGCAAATGTTGTGTGTGCGTTTTTCGCTTCGCTTCGCACGGTCGATGATCCTGACTCCAGCTGGTGTTAGCATGTTACGGTGCATACCATTTGATCCAGTGATCCCGTTTGCCTTGTCTCTTTGGTTCCATTCCACTCTTGACAGAGCCGTCCACCACCATGTCCAGGCCCCCCGCTACCGGGGCTTCCGGGGCAGTAGAGGCATCAGGGGCATCAAGGCAAGGGCACTACTGACAGACACATCTCCTACGCACGTCGAGATTTGTTTTTTGAGCTGTTTCGTGTCGTGCTGTACTTTATTTATTGTGCAATTGACACTAAAAAAGTATATAGCCCACACGCAAATCACCATCGTTGATTTATCTACGTGTTACAACATGGGCGGCATTAGAGTCTGTGGGCAACTTTTCTCGAAGGGTAAACGACGCGTCAGGGTATTCCCTGGTCGAAAAGCGACGCAGCTGGGTACGTACTTTTCATCAGCATGACATGAGTCTAACTGGTTGGAGACGCCCGCTTTGAATCTTCCACGTCACAATATAGCCCGGAGTATTCCTTGCCGCGGCTACTTTTCCCTGCAATTTTTTACCTGATGTTCGGAAATGTACCCAGCCCTGACGGGAGATGGGTGCCTTCCATCGGCCATTTTCTCCGCAGAAATCACTTTCTGTTCCCATCAAAGGACACTAGAATATGAACCTTCCAGCTCCAAGCAAATGATAGCATCCGACATCCGAGACACACTCTTCCATGATTGAACACAACATGGTTGACAAGTCGACTGAAACAGGAGTGGTGCTAAGGTAGGAGGGTGCATTCTTGGGGGGTGAGATCTCACACGTTTGGGAAAAATGAGGAATACGTAGACCTGTTTCGGTGATGTTACGGTGGTACACGATATTTGTTTGGAGCTGGAATATTCGTGTTTTGGTGTCCTTTCGTTGGAACAGAGATTGATTTCTGAGGAGAAAATGGCCAGTGGAAGGGACCCATTTCCCGTCAAGGCCGGGTACATTGCCGGAAATCAGGTGTCATTTTGCAGGGAAAAATGGCCACGATAGGGAGTACTCCGAGATGCTTTGTGACGCGGAAGGGAAAACGTAGGCGTAGACCAATCTGCTAAGCTCATGTCACGCTGACGAAAAGTGCGTATCCGGCTGAGTCGGGTTTCGACCAGGGTATGCCCTGACGTGTTGTTTACCCTTCCCCGAAACATTCCCGACGTAGGACATTTCACACATCTCACATTTTACGGAGATCGGGTATATACCTGGGGTAGCACACAAAGTAAATTATCGTGAATCACAACTGACATCCGAGTTTAACACCTCAAGTCTGAACGACTCAGAATAGAAACTTGTGCTTGTCCAACCATGCCTCCTACGTTTCCGAAGTTTGGTGTACAGTGTGTGTGTATTTCGTGTGGTGTTTGTTTTGGCGTGAACCCCTGACGAGAAGCTCACGACTGCAACCCAAATCTGCTGATGTGATTATGATCCTACCCTCTGCGTCTCGTCAGCGATTACCCTTGCTGTGTTAGCCCTCTACGGGAGAAGGTCGCGATTGCAACCAAAATCTGCTGATGTGATTATGATCCTACCGTACACATCTCGTCGACGATTACCCTTCTGTGTTAGACTTTGCGGTGAGTTGGTGGCCCCGATCGTCTCGACACGTGCGGTCCCTTCCCCATTGCTTTGTTTAATCAGCTGGGGCGGTTGTACTTCCCCGAACTGCGTAGGAACAAACCCTCGTCGTTTTGTGCTAGCGTTGCGGCAGTCCAGATTGTCGCAACTCCTTGCCCTCGCTGGTGTTCATGCTCCAACTGTTATCTGGCATTGCCTGTGGTCGGTACTCTCACAAGATAGGTCCGTGTTTGGGGATGTATGTGTATTCTGGAGTGGGGTGATGCGTTCTTGCACCACGCCGTCCCCTGATTGATTTGTTTTGGGGCACTCTGTCCTTGGTCAGTTCACGATTTTTGAAGGACGGTAGCGATCCCCCTAGCGGCAGGTCGAGAGATTGCATACACCCAAAGCAGCGGAGGGCACATCATGACCCATCCTACAGCAGTGTTTTTTCTTGTTTTCCAACGTTAGTCTCCGACAACCGCCCCCACGTGCCATTTATCACGGCTCTGGATGATGACCTGGATCATTCCTCTAAGTGGGTGGGGTGTGTTGGATCGGTCGCCAGTTCTGTACGTCCGATGGTTGTTTGTTCGAACGGTCATCCCAGGAGACTTAAAACAGCAGATCAGCACTGACTGAGTATCTTGTATCCGTCGAGAGGATCAACCTCACTAGATTAGCCAACTCTTTGTAGTCTAGCATGGTAGATGCTCTTCACGACCAAAAGACGCTCTCTGTGCCTCGCTGGTTAGTCTAGTGTTTTGGCCCTTCCAACCAACATGAGGGGGTGTGCGAGCATTTCATACCCTCGGACCCTGTCCACTAACGTTCGCTATGACCTGTATCTGCAAACAAGAGAGCCGTGTTTTGGTTGCGTAAAGTCTCATTGGGTGGTGTGTTCTTCAAATGCACACCGTGTACCCCGCGTGGCAAGGTTTTTGAGACGTTTGGCCTGTCCCTGTGATGTGTGTTTCGGTGGCCACATCATCCAGTTGCCCCACGTTACTGTGTTGTTTGCCATATGCTCTGTTAGTTTCGTGTGATATACCATTTTGGGGAAGCTCGCCATTGCAACCAAACTGCTGACATCGTGTTAAACAGGCGTTATGTGAATAATACCGTAAACGTCTGCGTCTCGTCGACGGTTACCCATGCTGTGTTGGACTGTGCGGTGAACTGGAGTCGCCCATCGTTTCATGAGATGGAACGAGTGGCCTCCTCGTTGCAATGTTTCATCACAGCTGGGTTGGTTGTCGTGTTTCTCTGCTTGTAGAAAAGAACTCCTAACTTTAGGCCAGTGAAGCGGCAGTGCGCAGCAATTGCAGCAAGCCGGCATTTCTGCTCCGCATAAGTTGGCGTTCGCTATGACTGGTATCCGCAAACAATAGAGCCGGTTGTGTAATGGCTCATTGGGTGGAGTGTTCTTCAAATGCACACCGTGTACCCCGCGTGGCAAGGTTTTTGGGACGTTTGGCCTGTCCCTGTGATGTGTGGTTCCAATGCCGATATCACCCGGTCGCCGCAAGTTGTTGTGTTCTTTGTGTGACCTTACAAATACAAATGTTCTGTTAGTTTCGTGTGATATACCATTTAGGGGAAGCTCGCCATTGCAACCAAACTGCTGACATCGTGTTAAACAGGCGTTATGTGAATAATACCCTAAACGTCTGCGTCTCGTCGACGGTTACCCATGCTGTGTTGGACTGTGCGGTGAACTGGAGTCGCCCATCGTTTCATGAGATGGAACGAGTGGCCTCCTCGTTGCAATGTTTCATCACAGCTGGGTTGGTTGTCGTGTTTCTCTGCTTGTAGAAAAGAACTCCTAACTTTAGGCCAGTGAAGCGGCAGTGCGCAGCAATTGCAGCAAGCCGGCATTTCTGCTCCGCATGAAACGGGCGTTCACTATCGCTGGTATCTGCAAAACATGGAACATTTTGGTTTTATGGCAAATTGCTTCTGATGATGCCTCGTTTTTTTAGATTGTCTAGCGGGGTATATCCTTCTTTGCACTTTTTTTTCTTGCTTGTGTTGCTTTTGGTCGGTTTCGAAGCGTGAGGTGGTGAAATCGTGTCCCTGTTGAAGACCCGTGTTTACCCATTTTGAGAAAAAGTATTGTAGTGCTCTTGCTCATAGTCGTGTTACAAACGAGCTGTGACCCTTGCTCCGCCCTGCCCACGCCCCGATCCACCCGTGCACCTGTTGACACTGGTTACAGTTCGTCAAATGTGATCGTTCGCGATGATTGCGAGAGGATGGGCTGTGCCCGTCCTGGCCAGGTCCCTTCGCCGACACCATTATTCCACAACGACATGATCAACACCGAGACTGGACAATCCGATGGCTTTTGGGGGTGAGTCATGCATAGCTCTTGGTATTTGCTTTCCAAACGTTCGTGAGACCCTCGAAATGGCTCTCACTAATTGAATAAAAGTATAGTTTTCAACCATTCGGGCCTCCACCACAACTTGCCGTGCGGTGCGGTGCGTTCATCTTCAACGGTACAACAACTTAGCGTTTTATCGCTCAAGGGCGCACCCACAAATTATCCTAGCATTACACACTTGATGTCGTTGTTGTTGATTATGATGTTGTCGTCACGCCAGATAATATCTGCATCTCTATGCAAGAACTCCGCGTGCATACCTCTTGAAAGCCAAGAAATGACGAAAGTAGAAATCAAGTGTGTGGTCACAGACACGAACTGGATTTGATGGCCCTGAAACACGATACCAGTTATCAGAGAAGCTCCTTCTTTGGGATGAGCAGCACGCAGGCTACTGACACTCTTTGTACCAAACGCTGACTTTCGCCCCAACTTTTCCCACAATTACAGACCCCCCGACGGCCCCAAAGCGGCGGCCGCCTGGCGGCAGGTGGAGGCCAGCAGTTCCCTGACTAGCGGTCCAACTCAGGGCGAGAAGCCCGAGTCCCGGCGGGGTGCTCGGAGTGGGTTAAGATCGGTACCAGACAAACCTGTATGCTATTTCCCGCGCTGCATTCAGAGTGGCTTGAATTGTAGAAGTACATAGATGTCCAGTTTGTCCAACGTCGTCTCCTCGGCTAGAAACGCCCCTGGAACCTCTCGACTCGCCGACGGCAGCGGCCGAAATGCTTCTGATTTGGGCCCGTATTGTTAATTTCGCCCTGGCAGCAACAGCTAGAGGATGTTCGATTGTGTGTGCGTTTTGTGGGATATGTCTCTGTCGTCGAATAGTTCATTTTTATCAACATGTGGTTCATCGAGAATTGATGCCTTGGAACCCCGCCCGCCTCCCTCCGACGCTTGGCTTGGCCGCGCGACCGACGACACGTGGGTGGCTGCCGGCTCGCCCACTCGGTAGCGCTGGCGTCCCTGGCGGTACGACTTCGCCGCCGAGGCAATCAAGTGAGTACCACCGACGGCCAGGCAATGTGAAGGTGTTTCAGGCAGTGCGTATATAAAAGGATTCTTGGTGGCTATGATATCAATATTAGCATCCAAACGAGAGCGTGTATTGCGATGGTTGCGGACAAGGCTACATACATAAAATAGGAGCTTGTGCGATCGAAATCCACCGGGCCAGGTACTTGGTTGCATCTGTCGCCACGCGGTGTAGGAACGGAGAACCATCTCGGAAACTGATACTTACACGGTAGATGGTCAAGTGACCCTGGAAAGCAGGAAGCGAGAGCGTTCCCCGACCGTCACGTAATCGATGGAAATAACCGATAGGGACATGACGAGAAACTTCCACCTCACGCGGGGGAAAAGACTTTCGTGAGCGTTCTCGGGGGAGCCGCTGATGCGATGGTCGCGGGGCGATTATAGGGATGTTGTATTGAGGAGAGGCATGCATTTGTTCGTGTGGGGAATAATACTGATACCCTCCCCTCCCACCCCTCGCTCGTGCCCGAACTCATAGTAACTTCTTTCTAAACGCTACAGTCTCGAGTAGGAATGAATAGGCATATACCGTCGAGACTACATGTATCCCCTCGCCGCGCGGCCTTACTGACAATTCCTCCACGGAACCCCCCCCCCCCGGTGCTCCGTCTCGAAAGGGACGCGTGGTCAATGGTCAAATGACTACGGCAAGCAACAAATGAGTACGCCCCCCCCCCC